TTTGATGAGTTTTTCTGTTCAAGTTTTTTAAGAACGCAGGCTGGAATGACTGTTTTATTTTACAGCTGTGTTTGTCACTGAATGTTGCCTTGCAAACACAACATTGCCATCAGTAACATACAGGTGGTAGTCTGGAAGCCTAACAGAGACAGATACAATTATTTTCAAAGGGTGCGAAGGGAATAAAGTTAATGTTTTTAAGGAAAAATTGGGAAATTACACCGTTTGTATGAATGTTCTCTGTCTGCAATGGGTTAAGATAACAGAGATAAACCTAGAAAGGGAAAAGGAAGTGACTCATAGTGGTAGCCATGAAAAAGGAGTAGGGTGGAAGTGACTAGATTGCAAGTAGTAGTAGCCTACGAGGGGCCAGTACTACATATCCTTCTTTTAATGGACCATCACCTTCCTCTTTTGCTTTGAACTTTAATGCTGGAAGAACCAGACTTTGTTATTCTGTGTATGTCTGCAATTGATGTGTGCTGATGTACCTATGCTTTGTTTATCTGTGAGGCAGGACTGTTAAAATTGATGGCTAGCAATTTTAGGTATTCTATGAGCAAAGAATATGGAAGGACCATTTATTCTTGCTGTTTTAGCAGGATTTTCCACACATTACAGAACAAGAAATACAGGTTTGCCAGCCCATATGTAAGGGGTGAGGAGGAAGGTCTGACCCTCTACATCAGGGGTCTCAAACTCAATTTACCTGGGGGCCGCTGGAGGCAGAGTCTGGCTGAGGCTGGGCCACATCAAATTTTCCATCAAGCGGAGCAAGAGCCCGAGGAAGCCACCCAGGAATTTCCTTAGCCCGGCTGGGGCTCCGAGGAGAAGGGGGGGCGCCAGCCACGACTTCCTCCAGCTGCTTCTTCACTACTGCCAGCAGCAGCAGGATGAAGAAGCGGAAAAGGGAGGGAGTGCCGGTGACCGCTTAGCGGGGGGGGGGAGGGCACGACATAAAATGTTAAAAAAATCCCTCACAGAATCGCCTTGCCAAAGGAGAAAAGCCCCCATCGGTACCTGCGAAATTAAACAAAACGGGGCGGGGCCCCCAGGTGTGCACGCGTGCACGCAATCAAACACACACACACACACGGAGGTCTGGCAACCTTCCTCTGAGGGCCCCCTCAAAAAAAATGCAAAACAATTTTGAGCCAAGCTGTCTAAACTAGACTAGCATTTAAAATCAAGGACTGGATTGTGTTAAGAGCTCTATTTGGGTGTTCCAATGGTACCCTTCAGCAAGGGATAGTGTTAGACTTGTATTCACATGATGTCCTTCAAGTAATAAGTAGTATATGCTTAGATAGGATAAGGCCTCATTTATTACACTCTATAGACAAAATAGCATCATTGGTTTTATAAAGGAGCTGACTGATAATTAATGTCCAATTTGAAGGTAATGTAATGGTTTTCTTCAGAGCATACAAACTTTATATATAATAGCAGATTTCAAGGAGTTTTGATGAGTTTTTCTGTTCAAGTTTTTTAAGAACGCAGGCTGAAATGACTGTTTTATTTTACAGCTGTGTTTGTCACTGAATGTTGCCTTGCAAACACAACATTGCCATCAGTAACATACAGGTGGTAGTCTGGAAGCCTAACAGAGACAGATACAATTATTTTCAAAGGGTGCGAAGGGAATAAAGTTAATGTTTTTAAGGAAAAATTGGGAAATTACACCGTTTGTATGAATGTTCTCTGTCTGCAATGGGTTAAGATAACAGAGATAAACCTAGAAAGGGAAAAGGAAGTGACTCATAGTGGTAGCCATGAAAAAGGAGTAGGGTGGAAGTGACTAGATTGCAAGTAGTAGTAGCCTACGAGGGGCCAGTACTACATATCCTTCTTTTAATGGACCATCACCTTCCTCTTTTGCTTTGAACTTTAATGCTGGAAGAACCAGACTTTGTTATTCTGTGTATGTCTGCAATTGATGTGTGCTGATGTACCTATGCATTGTTTATCTGTGAGGCAGGACTGTTAAAATTGATGGCTAGCAATTTTAGGTATTCTATGAGCAAAGAATATGGAAGGACCATTTATTCTTGCTGTTTTAGCAGGATTTTCCACACATTATAGAACAAGAAATACAGGTTTGCCAGCCCATATGTAAGGGGTGAGGAGGAAGGTCTGACCCTCTACATCAGGGGTCTCAAACTCAATTTACCTGGGGGCCGCTGGAGGCAGAGTCTGGCTGAGGCTGGGCCACATCAAATTTTCCATCAAGCGGAGCAAGAGCCCGAGGAAGCCACCCAGGAATTTCCTTAGCCCGGCTGGGGCTCCGAGGAGAAGGGGGGGCGCCAGCCACGACTTCCTCCAGCTGCTTCTTCACTACTGAAGGGTGCGAAGGGAATAAAGTTAATGTTTTTAAGGAAAAATTGGGAAATTACACCGTTTGTATGAATGTTCTCTGTCTGCAATGGGTTAAGATAACAGAGATAAACCTAGAAAGGGAAAAGGAAGTGACTCATAGTGGTAGCCATGAAAAAGGAGTAGGGTGGAAGTGACTAGATTGCAAGTAGTAGTAGCCTACGAGGGGCCAGTACTACATATCCTTCTTTTAATGGACCATCACCTTCCTCTTTTGCTTTGAACTTTAATGCTGGAAGAACCAGACTTTGTTATTCTGTGTATGTCTGCAATTGATGTGTGCTGATGTACCTATGCTTTGTTTATCTGTGAGGCAGGACTGTTAAAATTGATGGCTAGCAATTTTAGGTATTCTATGAGCAAAGAATATGGAAGGACCATTTATTCTTGCTGTTTTAGCAGGATTTTCCACACATTACAGAACAAGAAATACAGGTTTGCCAGCCCATATGAAAGGGGCGAGGAGGAAGGTCTGACCCTCTACATCAATGATGTAAATATATATGCAAAAAAATGCAAAAAAATGGTTCTCAATGTCATGAAAGATGGGACCCAGACTTACTCACAGTCCTGTGCTGACGGTGGTGAGACAGCTAGGGTCTCTTCCACAGTGACAGGGTGGGAACTGGACCTGGACAGAGCAGTCATCAGGGGAAGAGGACCTTGAGAAGGCCTGCGCTGGGCCTGGGAGTGAGAGCTAGCCCTGGATTGGCTGGTGTGATGTGTGGAGGCGGGGCCTCCTGCTAGTGGACCTGAAGGGAGTGGTTTACACGCTAATTCACCAGCACAACAAAAGAAGAGGAGCGCTGAGGCCAAGAGCCTCAGTCTCGCCAATGCAGTAGCAGAGATAGGAAGCCAGAGCAGCCGAAAAGTAGTGAGGGATCACTAGAGGAGCTGTGGGGGAGATGCGGAGAAGCAGTGGGGAAACATTAAAGGAACACAATCCAGGGTGTGGCAGCAGTGACATCCAAAGGCCCTGGACCTGGAGAGAGCAGAGACATTGGGGGAAGAGGAGGCAGACATTAGAAGGCTACATTGACACTGTCATGTAGGGCAAAGAGTGGCAGGGCTCTGGATGCAAGCTCATTGGGGGCTCATATGAGCCTGCTGCTATCACAAGTGGGTGACCCTCAGCTAAGGCCCTGGCCTGAGGAACACCACACGTGCATGCACACACGCACACACGCACACAAACACAAGCTGGTGGTCTATAGGCAAACACTGCAGTATGTGTAGCACCAGTTTTACCACCTGGAAGTAGCTGTTACACTGAATCCCTCCAAAGAAGAAAGAATACAGGTTACTAAGTGCAAAATAGCATTAATTTATGCTCTTTCAGTGGTTGAGAGACCATGGGGAATGTTAAATCTAGCTCCATATATGATTTAGTAGCTTCTCTTCCTTTGAAAGCTTCAGTTTCTTAAGTGTTCCTTTTAAATAAACATTTTTATATCAGCCTGTTTCCACTGCAATAGTTTTAAAATAAAAATATTTTAATTTTCTTTCTTGAGGATCTATGCATGTATGAATAAATTATATGACTAATATGCACAGCTGCCATGAGCAGATACATGGATTTCAGTTTTTGGTCTCCATCCCTTTTCATTTTGTGTCTTCCATAATGGATTCGTATGACATGAAGATGATTTTTAAAACAACCTATCCAAGGTTATTTTGTGTGGAGTTTTTAAAGGTATATAGTACTCAGAGGTGATTTGCTGTTCACTTCTTTGGGGTGTGTACGTGCTCTGGTACTGTGTAACTTGCCCAAGACTACACCAGCTGGCTCTTCTGCTGTGAGGCAGAGTGGCAATTCAACTCCCAATCCTTGGCTCTGTAGCCAGATATTGCTGGGTGGCTGGATGTGTTTTAGCCCTGAACAGAATGGTATTCTTGATTGTTTGTAGTCAATCTTGTTGTAAAGGACTTCAGCATCTATGAGAGCTAGGATGGTATTTTCTGGGAATTTGTCAGTGGAATGTGGTTGGCTGAGGAAATCCCGTTAAGTCATGAAATATCACTGGCATATGGTCCAAGGAGTGGGAAACCATGTAGCCAAGCATCCCAAATGAAACAGTGCTGAGCGTTGTCTGGCCTATGTTCTGGGAGGAGCACACAAAAACTTGAACAGAGTAAAACCTCCTGCTCGTGTTTCCAGCAACTGTTTTACAGCACTACATTGGAAGGAATATACTATCATTACAGGTAGCTTTTCAGAGGAGGGACTAGACATATTACTGTTGTCAAAAAACAAAACAACAGCTACAAAATAGGGAGAGGAGAACATTTCATTTTACTTTTATCATGCAACCTCCTTTATACCAGTAATAAAACCTAAACATTAATTTGCCAACAATGCTGGTTTTCAGATACATTGGTGTTGTGTATCATTTACAGGGAAGAACTGTGAGTCCAATCAACTGGTTCATGTTCTGCCTGGTGATACTCTGTTGAGAAGCACATCAAAACACCATGTGTTCTTCTCTGGTGGTAATTTTTCTTTTGATCCAATTGTGCCTTTTTTTTTATCAAGCCTCCAAGAATGGATAGTTACTGGACTCCCCGTGGATTTGATGCTCACCTTTGCCCTGAGCACACCTACCGTGGAAGAGTCTGTGTTTACTTACAGCCTGCTGGAACCACAAACAGCCGCTTTCCAGGTTAGTTTTCCTTCGAGAAGGCATGGAGTTGCCTGAAAAGGTAACTAGCTGATGTTGCCCACTGGTTTCCATGGTTACCACCTGGCATTTGAAAGCCCATTGTGACACAAGTGCAGTCCTGTTTCTTCCTAATGACATAAATATTCACGACTTTGGCACGATTGATAACAGCCTGTATTTTCATCTGGAATAATTTCGTAGCACTTGATGACTTTCTCTGCAGGGCTTCTTCATGTATCCGCTTCGTTTCTTGCAAGGAGCCAAGTAATTTTAATTTTTCAAAGCCTGAGCAAAAGGTAACCTTGATGGAAGGAAGAGAAAGGGCAGCCTTTTAGGTATTGTTTTCCTGATAATGGTTGTAGAGGGAGGAAAAAAAATCAGATGGCAAGTGACTTCATTCTCAGTATTTTTTGTGTAAAGCCCAGGAAGAGGACAGCCTAAATGGTTTCTTGAATAAAATGGTATGTGAGCTTAGTGCTCTTGCTCAAACTCCCGTGTAAGCATTTGGCCAGTGGATTACTGAACTCCATCAAGTGGGGCAGGGAGACCAAAGGAAAATGAAACCAAAGGCCACAAAAGGTGGTGCCAAATGATCTTGGGCTTTGTTACATTCTTCCTCCTTTCCAGAGACATTGAAGTACAGCTCCTTACCCTTTAACATCCAGTTGAACTAAAGAACAGCCTCTTATGTTGGTTTGTTAGGTTTTCACAATAATGTGAACCCTTTCTTGGAACCTTTATCTTTTGCTTAAGCCGCCATTAGAGGATGAGAAATGGCAGGTCGAGGGACAATAAGTTGCTGGGTAGATGTGCTTGCACTACACAGAAACATAGAGAGAGAGAGAGAGAGAGAGAGAGAGAGAGAGATGTCTTTGTAACTGTAAATATTGATGGCCTGCTTTCCTCTTAGTTGCATATGAGGTCATATCACGCAAATGTTAAAGTGCTACATTCAATATGCCATCAAGTTTGAAAAACTTAACAGTGGCCAGAGGACTGGAAAAGATCAGTTTACGTCCCAATCCCAAAGAAGGGCAGTGCCAAAGAATGCTCCAACTACCATACAATTGCACTCATTTCACACGCTAGCAAGGTTATGCTCAAAATCCTCCACCAAGGTAGGCTTCAGTAGTATGTGGACCGAGAACTCCCAGAAGTACAAGCTGGATTTCGAAGGGGCAGAGGAACTAGAGACCAAATTGCTAACATGCACTGGATTATGGAGAAAGCCACAGAGTTCCAGAAAAACATTTTCTTCTGTTTCATTGACTATGCGAAAGCCTTTGACTGTGTGGACCGTAGCAAACTATGGCAAGTCCTTAAAGAAATGGGAGTGCCTGACCCCCTTATCTATTTCCTGAGAAACCTATGTGGGGCAGGAAGCAACAGTTAGAACTGGATATGGAACAACTGATTGATTCAAAATTGGGAAAGGAGTATGACAATGCTGTATATTGTCCCCCAGCTTATTTAACATATGCAGAATACATCATGCAAAAGCCTGGACTGGAGGAATCACAAGCCAGAATTGATTGCTGGAAGAAATATCAAGAACCTCCAATATGCAGATGAGACCATTCTGATGGCGGAATGTGAGGAGGAATTAAAGAACCTCTTAATGAGGGTGAAAAAGGAGAGTGCAAAAAATGGTCTGAAGCTCAACATCAAAAAAACCAAGATCATGGCCACTGGTCCCATCACCTCCTGGCAAATAGAAGGGGAAGATATGGAGGCAGTGACAGATTTTACTTTCTTGGGCTCCATGATCACTGCAGATGGTGACAGCAGCCATAAGATTAAAACACACCTGCTTCTTGGGAGGAAAGCGATGACAAACCTTGAGAGCATCTTAAAAAGCAAAGACATCACTTTGCGAACAAATGTCCTCATAGTCAAAGTTATGGTTTTTCCTGTAGTGATGTATGGAAGTCAGAGCTGGACCATAAATAAAGCTGACTGAAGTATTGATGCTTTTGAATTGTGGTGCTGGAGGAGACTCTTGAGATTCCCCTGGACTGCAAGGAGAACAAACCTATCCATTTTGAAGAAAATCAACCCTGAGTTCTCACTGAAAGGACAGATCCTGAAGCGGAGGCTTCAATACTTTGGCCATCTCATGAGAAGAGAGACTCTCTTGAAAAGACCCTGATGTTAGGAAAATGTGAAGGCAAGAGGAGAAGGGGACGACAGAGGATGAGATGGTTGGACAGTGTCACTGAAGCTACCAACATGAATTTGACCCAACTCCGGGAGGCAGTGGAAGACAGGAGGGCCTGGTGTGCTCTGATCCATGGGGTCACAAAGAGTCAGGCATGACTTAATGACTAAACAACAACAACAGCAGCAGCAGCAGCAGCAACAACAACAACAACAACAACATGGAGAGGAAAGGTTGCAGCTGCAAGGAACAATCTCTCCCTAGTTTGGGATCTCTCCTATACACTAGATACCAAGTGCAGGCGAATCCTCTGTGTTTATATGGACCAACCACAGGAGGAATGGACTGGTCTTTTTTTCCAATAATGTTACAGGCTGAAGAAAGCCTGGGGAAAGATGACAGTTTCAATTTTCTCTTACATTTCTTTTCCTTATTTTAAAAAACCTGTTTCTAATTCTCACTTTTAATGACATTTTTAAAAAATGAAGCAAGCAGCATAAGGTGCAGACAAATTACCATCTGAACCATGTGATATTCCACTATTAAGTGAGACCATGCCCCTATAACTATAAAAGTCAACATTATAAGCCAGAATCTTATTGGAAGTGTAAGTGCACTTTTATAAATCAGTGGCAAATTGCTGCTAATTAGTGAGCTGTGTCTGTTGCCAACTGATGCTTGACCAGGATTGTGAATGGCACCTTATTGATTAGTAGCAATTCATTGCTGTGATTCACAAAATTACTTAGTTTGATCTAAATTCCCAGTAGGATTCCAGCCATAATTATTAGATAAAAGTAGTAAAATTATCAGCAAGGGATAAGCTAAGTTATAGGTATAAAGCAACTTGGTTATGCCTGCAATACTGGAAAAGGGAAAAAATTATAAGTAATTCTCTATTAGTAGCTACAGCTGCAGGTATACAGGTTCCAAGCATGGAACATTTATTTTATTTTATTTAAAATATTTCTATCCCACCTTGCTCCTTAAAAAAGAACCCAAGTTACTTTGAGGAAGAGTAAATATATTATAAGACATCCATAAATGGGTAGTGATAGGCTGAGCGGACTTGAAGAAGCCATTAATGGTAGCATATCCTATAAGAAACAGCTGGAAGCAACATGTTTTTCAGTCTGACTTGCTAAGCCTGATCTCAAGTTACAAAATGAATATCAGAAAAAAAACCCTCCTTAACTAGAGCAGTATGACAATGGAACCAATTACCACAGGACATGGAGAGTGCTCCAACACTGGAGGCATTCAAGAAAAAGTTGGAAAACTGATCTGCTTTCATTTGGATTGCTGCATTGAGCAGGGGTGGGATTCAACGGCCTTATAGGCCCTTTCCAACTCAGTTATTCTATGATTCTATAATTGTTTTAGATCAAATGGGAATGTAATTGTAAGGCGGAAAGGGAGGATGCTTTGGGGAGAAAAAGACAAGGCATCCATGTAAAATAGGTCACAGAAGCTTGTTGATAAGAAAATTATATTGGTTTGGTTTTGATGACGGAAAAACTAAGCAGAGGCCAAAACAAAGACATTTCTAGTTCAAACTCTAAATCTCTTTTAGCAAAACAATATTAGCCTTAGCCCTGTTATAAACCAGCAGCCAGCTGTGCAATAAATACTCAATAGTTGTTCATCTGCTGCGCAGCATCCAGTCATCTTTCATCAATAGACTTCAGGGCCAACATATTTCCCTGCCACTAAGATGAAGACAGCATGTTGCTGGAAAAATGCCATTATTTTCCCACCCTGTAGGGGCACTGCAATTTTAGGCTTCAATTGGTTTGGATAGAACCTGTGATATATCCACACTGCAGAACCAAACGCACAGGCAAACAAGAGTTCCACATAAATGAAATTGATTTCCATCAAGGGACAGAAGGCTCCTTGTTTTACCCCTTAGACAGTCTTCTAATTTTTGCCTTGAGAGTTTTAGTGGATTTTGTGCTGAGATGAACAGATGGAATGACTTCTCTGAACTCCCTTCTCTGGCCTTCTAGATGGACTTTAACTCCCAGAAGTCCCAGCAAGGATGAACAATGGAATGAGATTGTAGTTCAGGTTGGTCCACTGGAAGGGTCAACTCAAAACCCCACGCCAGCATTATGAATGCTGCCAAACATTGGGGTTGCTTTCTGTATAAAACTCACTGTGATGTTCCTGTCTGGATTTCCAAGGTGAGGTAACATGCAGCACTACTTCTAGACAATTTTCATCAGGGAGCCAAGCTGAGAGGAAAATGATGTGGTGGCAGATGTGTAAAGATCACTCTCTTATGCCGTGATAACATGCAGTTGAAGGAAGTAGCTGTCTTCAGCCCAGGATCAATGTTGACAGGGGACAATGTATCAGAAAACATAATACTGGTATGTTACACTGATGTCTCATCTCTGCACGGTGTTGATCCTTATTTCTTCTGTTAGCCTAACTGGAATTGTGCTACTTCCTTTAGAATGAAATGAGCATATTGCATTAATGACAGTCCCAATCCTTTAATGCATCAGTATGGTTTCATTAGTTTCGAAGTGTAAGGTAGCAAATGGTTTTCTATATTCTCGTGACCAAACACCAAATTCCACCCCCCTCGTAAAACAAAACAAAGCAAAACCCAGAAATAAAGCAATCTTCTAACAAGGAAATGTCTTCCTTCCTGGGTAGACTGTTGCAGACACTCAGTCTATGGATTCTAGTTCCACTGCAGGAGTGTTTTGTTCTGTTTTCAGTGTAAAAATGTTACACCAAAATTAATAGACAAAATGCATGTGCCCTTGGATTCTGTGTATGCATCCCATGAAAGCTGCATTCAGGAGTTGGAAGGGTGCATTCAGATGAAAAATAACTATTATGAATAGAACAATAATCTTAGAACCACATAGCTGGAAGGCACCCTATCAAGTCCAGCCCCTGTCAAAGAGGCATGGTAGGGAATTGAACTCCCAACCTCCGGCTCCACAACCAGATACCTAAATCACTTTGCTACCCCGCAGCTATAAGAAGGGCAGATTGTGACTGGGGTAGAATGGTATGACTTTTCCTGCTGGGCTTTCATCTTCAAATGGTCTCTTCCAACTTATTTTTCTCTCACTGGGAAAAATATGGGAGAACTTAAACTATACAACTTGCTAAGGCAGTAATTGTATGTTGGTGTAGCATTGCAATTAAGGCTCCATTTCTGTCATCTTTAGGTACAGAAGTAATAGCCTCTTTCAAGCCAAGGTGTTTTTTTTTGTTGTTGTTGTTTACATTGGATACCCAGAATCATCTTCTTAGATAAAAAGTCACAATCATGAGCATGGCCTTGCAGTGTGAATACAGGTTTATGACAGTATCATTTTTGTTTCTACTCTCAAATGAGCACACCCCATCCCACCCCCTGTGTATAGGTCAATCTACTGTTCTTTCTGTGCACATAAAGTTGTCCATTTCTTGCTCCAAATATTGGCGGTCCCTATACTTGGCTGCACCAGAACCTTTGCTTCACTGTTCAAATATGTGAAGGGAATATGAAACCAGCTTCCTATATATCTCCTTCGTGACTTTCATACATTCTGGAAGAAGATGAGCAAAGAAACTAAATTGCATTCTAGAATTCCATTCTCATGTAATATTCTCCTTCAGCATGTCGGAAGAGAAGGTAAACACAAGTGTGTGTGATACTATTTCTCTGAGTTTGATGACTCTACATTTGGTGACTGGCATTTGAAGGGATGAATGGTCCCTTCAATAGAAAAGGGTTGTCATGTGAAGTGAAAGGAATATGTAATCATCTTTGATCTGTGGTGGCCCAATCAGACCTCAAAGTCATCACTCACTGGTTGCTGCAATAAGGAAGCAATGAATGTTCTTGGGAAAATCAGCTTTCAGTGTTACTTGGATTTGTTGCACGACAGTAAGTGAATGCTTCCTTCTTGTGAGTTGTAATACTGATGTTAGGTATAACATGTCAAAAAATTATTTTCTCAAAGCAATAAATGGGTGGCACTCGAGTCTGTGAGCTGTATTTCTACAACATTTTTTGGCACTATGCTTTCCAAAAGGAATGTTGCTGCACTATCTTCTTAAGCAAAAAATCACAGAGGGAGATCTTTCCAAAGGCCATCTTGTTTAGATTGTATCTGTCATTGTTTGCAGATGTAATTCAAATGGCAAGGGAGAATATGCAGCTATAATAATGAACTGAGGAGAATCTTAGCTGGCTCATCAAAATAGCACCTATTTTATAACGGAAAGTTTGCAGGAGTTTTTATGGAATTAGACACTATGGACCTATATACTGTTTATGAAATGCAGCTACATTGTGAAAATCTCAACACAGGGCAATTGAAGGAACAAAAAATATAAATAAGAAATAAAACATTTCCTTAGATGAATATAAAATAGAGCTCAGAAGAAGTTCACATTTTGTTGAATAATCTTGGTAATAATATCCATAAAAAGAAAACAGTTCTACAGATTGTAAGTCTTTATGCAAGAGCCACTTCTCTTATGCTTTAATCTGAGTCATTCCACATTTTGCTATTTAATTAATGATGATATGAAAGTCATTAGATTTTCTTATGTATTGTACCTTCCTATCACCCATATGTTTCTCTGTACTAAGGTGATTTTAATACAATTTCCAAATATATTGTACCTGTGAGCCATCTTTAGTCAAACCCTCTCTCCCACTCGGGCAAACAGAGAATTTCCTTTCCAGTGTGGAGCGTTCCCTGTTCAGGATTCCAGTCATCCCATTCTACTTCCTTGCTCCCCAGGTTTTCTGTGCACCCATAACTGTCATCACATTCACTGGGGCTGCTTGGTCTTCTTTGGATTGATTTTTTGAGAAGACTCCTTCCTCAGTCAATCTGCTCTTACCTATTGCTTTTGCATGTGTGTTGCCATTTGGATTTTTAAGTACAAACACCTGGAGAACTGAGTTTGCTTTTAGTATTTAATCATAGCAAAATAATTCTACATCAATTGAAATTCGTAGAATGTCTTGAATGGCTTTTTGACAAGACAGCAGCTTTCGATATTATCTATATGCATTGTCTGTACACACACTTTAAAGTTGGTTAAAGAGCTGAAATATAGAATCAACATGCTTAGCTTTTTTTTTCTTGCTGTTCTTCCTTCTAGCTGTCAGTTGAGTCAGACAGAAATTTTGCCATATAGGACAGCTTAAAAATTTCTCTGTTCATTATATACCTTCTAGGATGGCTGTTCATTTTGTAGTAAGCAAGAGACAGCAAACATGTGTCAGTCCAGATGTTGGATTCCAGCTTCCACCAGCCTCAGCAGCGCAGAGAATTGTGATCCATGGCAGTCATATTACATCTCCAGGAGCACACACTCACTGTTCCTGCAGACTAAAACACAAAGAGGCCAGTTCCAGTATAACTACTGTGAATCTGTCCATCCACAAAGCATCCTTCACAAAGTGTTCTTTGTTTCCATGGAGACTGGGACATCAGCATTATGATGCAAGAAGCAGGAAGCAAAAAAAGAAAGAAAAAAAACCAGAAGACAGAAAACAGCCAGCTGGATAAAAAATCTTCCCTGTGGGTTCCTGAATGTATTGTAAGTGATCAGCTCTCCTCAGAGATGCTTGACCATTCGGACAGACAGTAATTAGAAGCCTGTGCTCCCTCATTAGGCTGAGTCGAGTTCTGGTAACTTCAGCCAAGGGCCACCCCACAACTTCTGCTTACAAGTCTGCCCTAAAAAAGATACTTCAGCAACCTTAGAAAGAAAGAAAGAAAAGAAAAGAAATACACATGAGCTATGTAGTCAGTAGACTCATTTTGCTCAATCTGGATAGGACTCAGTAGCAAAATGTGGCCCTAAAATTCCCCTCATGGTAATACTAAGACAGCTACACTGTTCAAGAGACCAACTGATTTTTATAATTATTATTTTATTAAGAAAAACATAGAAGTTCACAAAGTAAAGTCAGTTTAATGCATTAGCAAGCATGTTATCATTTTCAAGGCTTGATACAAAATATAAATGAAGCAATAATTCTCTTTAAATTCAAAAAGACTAAAATCCTAGAAAATCTCTAAAAAGCTCTATTAGGGTGGGCAAAAGGCAAAAGCCCCCCCTTTCTACCTAGTCCCCTACATCTCTATCAGTCTGTTACCTGCACGGCACAGCAGGCAACAAGACCTAGTCCAGAAAGGTCCAAGGATGAAAAAATCAGGAAAGGAAATGGGAAATGGGAATATTGTCCATAGTAAGAGTTCCTTTTTCAAGCTTAGCTGGAACCCCCCTTCTTCTCCGTCTCTCACGCTGTTATTCAATCATGGCATGAAGTCAGGTAAACAGTCCTTCCTTATCGTCTCTCTTCTCTTCTCATGGGAAACAGGTGTTGTTTTCCTCAGAACGTCTGCAATTCCGCCATAACAAATGACCAGTCTTCTTATCTAGGAATGTCCTCCTCAGGCCTACAAGAAAACATTCCCACATCCCTCTAGAAACACACTGTCAGCATGCAGAAATCATTTATACAGCGAACCAATATGGAATCCATTTTACATTGTTCACTACTACATATCCCATCTTCAGTACAAGATTTAATCCACATAAATCAATCCATGACATGTATAAGTCTACAAGTGCTATTGCAGAGTGGGGAAACTTGAAAGGAAGAATGGGTGCTGCTTTTGTACAGTATTTCAAGTTGCGTGTATGAGATTTCTTTAGATGAGAGGTTTAAGTAGTTGATAAGTTGGTTGTTGTGGGTTTTTCGGGCTTCTTGGCCGTGTTCTGAAAGTGGTTCTTAGGAAGAACCACTTTCAGAACACGGCCAAGAAGCCCGAAAAACCCACAACAACCATTAGATGCCGGCCGTGAAAGCCTTCGCGAATACAGTTGATAAGTTGTTGTAAACGAGATCTATAGTGGTGCAGTATTCATTTTCTTACAGAGTAATATGAAGCAAGAAAAGAAATCATGCCTTGTAGAGAGGACAAAAAACTATGGAGAGCCTTGGTTTTTATCATCATTTGTCACTGGACATAGCAAGTTAAGGCTCATGGTGTCTGGAGGAAGGGTGGGGGAATACCAGTGGTGCATTGACTGAACAGATACTGTATATTTTGGGAAACCAATGCCACATCTGGAAGAGCCTCAAGTCAAAGACAATCTCAAATAGTTTACAGAAAACTTAGAATTAATTAGTTAGTTGTTGTATTTGCTTGCTGGATAGATCAGTAAGTTGGTTATCTGGCAGTAGAGCCATAATTCCTCACTGTACTTCCTGGGAGAAGAGCCAGCCTGTATGGCCTTGGGCAAGCTACACAGTCCCAGAGTGCCCCCCCCCCCAGAAGAAGGGCATAGTAAGTCTTCTGAGTAATTTATGTGGTGAAAACCCTGAGCTGGAATCAATACCCTCTCCCATATGCAATTGATTTCAACTTATGCCGACTCTTTTCAGAGTTTTCTAGGCACAGAGAGAAATAGTAAGTCATAATTACTATTGAATCAGTGGTACATAGAGATCCTCACCAGATCCTCACTGACTCAATGAGCCTACTATAATTGTGACTAAACTGTTGGTAAGGAGAACTGTTGACCCTTTAGAACTGTTACCAATTGTTTAAACTGCCAGCAGCTTTATACAACATCTAGAGACAAGATAATACCATTTACCAGAAGAGGCTTAATTAGGTATGCAGCAGCTTATGAAAGAAAGAAAAAAACACTAATTTTTATAGGTGCTAAATTACTGTTTCTGTTATAAATTGTTTCTCGCAAGACTAACATGGCTACCTGTTACCTTAACTTGTCTGCTTTAAATTTCTGCATTAAAACAGAAATATGCAAGCAGAAAATTCAATAATGCATGCATAAGGCTATGGTGTGATAGTGGGTGAAATCTATGAGGAGAGACTGTGAAGAAAGGTTGTGCTTAGATAGTTAAGAATTGAGCTGATAGTATTCTATTACTGAAAAAAGAAGAACCATATGAGCTAATCTTCTGGAAGGTAATAAAAAATAATAATGCATAACATCATAAACTGTTTAAGAAAGTTAGGTTTGTTATTCATTTTAACCACACCTGTTGTTTGGTCACCAGCACCAATATAGTAAAAGGTGACACCTAAAAGCCAACATTATAAAATTGTACCTAAGCAATAATGAGAGTTAAATCTGGTGAAGAGCCTGCTGACAGGTGTCGTGTTGCGAAGAATATGGACTAACTAGATTCCATGTGCCTAATCACACTTCTCCAGACTTCTTCAGCCTTTTTGTGAGGCAAGTGGAGGCCTAGAGAGGGCCATTCAAGATAGGATTACTATACAATGTTATACAATGCTGATAACATAGTAATTTAGGGCTAAATCAGTATTTTTTCTTTCTTTCTTTTTCTATATGCCACAGATTTAAAGGCCATGAGGAAATGGCTTTAGTCCTGTGTGGCTGTTGCTGTTTTTCAAGTTTTTTTTTTTTTTTGTGAGGGTGGATATTGTATGACCTGGAATGAAGCAAAGTAGTATCTCTCTCTCTCTCTCTCTCTCTCTCTCTCTCTGTGTGTGTGTGTGTGTGTGTGTGTATGTGTGTTTGTTTGGTATTTATATTTGTAGGGTGCAGTTGCTTTGTGTCGAGCTTCTACCTATTGAATAGTAATCATCCTGGAGATTAGCAATTTAGGCAAAATAAAGGAAATAACTCATTCGTTATTTATATTTAAGGAAATTTGTTTCTAGAGAGTGCAGGAGAAAAAGTGGATGAAATTTAAAAGGAGAAATGGGTGAATGTATTTATAGATGTCCCAATAGCTGGGCCTCTATGCTTTAAGGTCTACTAGCAGCCACCAGTGAGAAGCCACATGAGTTTGTTTCCCTCTGTGTTTTACACCCACTTCATGTTGCCACACATTGATAGGAAGGAGGCACCCAATGATGGGACCCAGGGTAACTGTAACTGTCTCCCCCAAAAATCCCACTGAAGTTGCCCAGTATAATTTAAGAAGTGAGTATTATTATTACCATAGAACGGATATTGGTCTAAACTGAAAACCCCCACCTAAGATTTTATACAGAGTACTGAATAGCTGCAAAGAGATTTGAATGGGCAGTTTTCTAAATTAAACTAAAGATCAGTTCCCCTTATTATGCACACAACAATGTTTATACAATGGAAATACAATCTATAATAAAGAGAATGTAGGTGGGTTAATGTGATTGCTCACTGTGATTAGCAATCAGGTCTACAATGATTGTAGGGCTTGGTAATTTATATATATGAAGAAAATATGCACAGCATGGGAATGCTTTTGGGTGTTTATGGTGGGTTACTATCCTTCTGTGTAGTTAAAGCCACTGTGATGAAAAATAATCTGCCTGTTCCATGAATCCTTCCTTCCTTCCTTCCTTCCTTCCTTCCTTCCTTCCTTCCTTCCTTCCTTTCAAATTAAAAATAAGATTATAATATAAATGCACAAAAGTCACAAAAACGATTTACATTTGAAAGCATAATCATCATCCTGTGCCGTCAAGTCAATGCTGATTTATGGTCATGGTTTTCAGAATTCTCCAGGTAGAGAATACTCAGAGCTGGTTTACCATTCCCTTTATTGTTGGGGGTGCTCTGGGACTTTGCAGCTTGCCCAAGGTCACACAGGCTGGCTGTCCCCACAGGAGGCACAATGGGGACTCCCAGCCTTCGGTTCCGCAGCTAGATACCCCAAACACTGAGCTATTTAACCAACTTTTGAAAGCATAGACCAGCTAGTCTTACATTGATCAATGAAAAGCAGCTGTCAACCATCAAGTCTTTCTAGCCTGTTTGAAATAAATCAACCACAAAGGCCACCTTAGGTCCCTCCATGGAGAAAGGTGGGGTAACAATATTTTAAATAAATAATATTTCAAATAAGGAAGCTAAGTTCACTTTTCCAGGAAAGAGTTGCTCTGTGGCTCATCTTGGGGATGAGGCAGGTTCACAGAGGTATAGGCATTCCTTTTAAGGCACTGTCCTTCTGGCTTGCCTGTGTTTGCCTGTCACAAGTTCACCCCACCCTTTCCCCCAAGAACTCAGAAAAGCACCAATAGGAGATAACTCTGTTTTTCAGTCCTCTGCTCAGTCTGGAAGACAGTGGCTGCTGCAAGTATACAGAGCTAAGCAATGTTTTCGGTCTGGATCCTTCCAAATTAAACCCTACATTTTATCTGGGGATTTGAGAATAGTTAGAATGGGTAGGAGCAATCATTTGGTATTAAAATTCAATGCCAAAGCTAGCAAGATGTGAGGGACACACATGAAAGCTATAATTTAGAAATCAAACCCTGCAAATATTATTTTTTCATTCAACTTTTAATGATCCCAAACCAGCCAGAACAGAACTGTACAGAACACAATGGACTGGAGGGCAACCTTTGAACAGGAGAAACCAACCAAATTC